CCAAAGGTACACCTGGTTACATCACTGGTGACCCTAAGGTACACCTTGTTAGCATGTTACATCACTGGTGACCCCAAGGTACACCTCGTTAGCAAGTTACATCACTGGTAACCGGCCTCAGCGGCACACCTGGAATAATATATGCGTATGATGCATGTCATACCATCATAATCTCATTGACTCAATATTTAACTTGTTACATAATTTCATTTAGTACATCATGTCCTCATTTGTCATAGTCTCATAATCATAGTTTGTCTCAATAGTCAATTCTTAGGTCTCATGTCATTTGTCCATATTTCACATGGTCATGTCATCAATACTCCTCATAAGGTCCGCATAGGTATTCACAGAGATTCAGAGAGCATTCTTATTCATATTAAAACTCATGTATTATTAACATTAATTTCATATTCATTTATTACTTTCAACAAAGAACAAGGTAGAGTAAATAGAAAATCAGACAGAACAACGGCACTTTCAACAAAAACAAAGTAGAATAAATAGAAAATCGGACAGAACAACGGCACCTTCAACAAAAAGCAAAGTAGAGTAAATAGAAATTAAACAGAATAACGACAAAGGATTGGGGGCCAATCCGACAAACAACTATCCAACAATTATCCCCACACCCCTGAGCGAGGTTCTCACTCCCCCCCTTACCTGGATAAGCAGGAGCTGGAACTTGGGCAGGGCCTCCTCCTCTGGATTCTCTCTTTCTTCCCTCTCTTTCTTTCTTTCTTTCTTTCTCTCTCTCTCTCTCTCTCTCTCTCTCTCTCTCTCTCTCTCTCTCTCTCTCTCTCTCTCTCTCTCTCTCTCTCTCTCTCTCTCTCTCTCTCTCTCTCTCTCTCTCTCTCTCTCTCTCTCTCTCTTCCTTCTCTTTCTCTCTCTAAAATTTCACTTTCTTCCTCTGTATAAAAATTTTCACCCCCCCTGCCCTATTTATAGGCAAACTGGTGTACCCGGAACGGCCCGTATTGAATTCGGAACGGCCCGTTCCGGATCCTTCGAATTTGTGCAAATTTCTCAACTGGAACGGCCCGTTCCAAAATCGGAACGGCCCGTTCCCAAAAAGCAGAACGGCCCGTTCTAAAACCAGAACGGCCCGTTCTCAATCTCAGCAGAACGGCTCGTTCTCCCTCCGGAACGGCCCGTTCTCCATACCAGAACGGCCCGTTCCAGGCCCGTTCTGGGACTACAAAAACCTCACATTTTCAACATTTGGAACGGCCCGTTCCACTTTTGGAACGGCCCGTTCCGGAACCCAAAATACCCCTATAACTTTATTAAAATTACGAAAATGCCATTAAAATAATAATAATAAAAATTTGGGTGTTACAATTCTCCCCTCCTTTTAGAAATTTCGTCCCCGAAATTTACCTGAAAACAGAAATGGATGAGCTTCTCGCATCTTGCTTTCTAATTCCCATGTAGCACTTTCTTCAATATTTCCTCCCCAAACGACCTTAACCAAAGGGATTTCCTTTCCTCTTAGTTGTTTCACTCTCGTGTCATCAATCCTTAGAGGAACCGTTTCATAAGTAAGATTATCCTTCAACTGAATGTTGTCAGACTCAATGATATGGGAAGGATCATGGACATACTTTCTGAGTTGGGAAACATGAAAGACACTATGGAGATTTGAAAGAGATGGAGGCAAAGCAATTTGATAGGCCACTTCACCGATTCTTTTAAGAATTTGATAAGGACCAATGAAACGTGGAGTAAGCTTACGGGATTTCAGTGCTCTGCCTACTCCTGTCCAAGGAGTGACTTTAAGGAATACATGATCACCTTCTTTAAACTTAAGGTCTTTTCTCCTCTTGTCATTATAACTCTTTTGCCTACTCTGGGTTGCTCTCATCTTCTCTTGGATCATCTTAACCTGTTCAGTAGTTTGTTGAACTATCTCAGGTCCTAACATGACATTCTCTCCAGGTTCTACCCAACATAAAGGTGTTCTACATCTCCTACCATACAGAGCCTCATATGGTGCCATCCCAATACTAGAATGGTAGCTATTATTGTAGGTAAATTCTATCAAAGGTAGGAAACTATCCCAACTACCCCCACGTTCTAAGATGCAAGCCCTCAACAAGTCTTCCAAAGATTGTATGGTTCTCTCAGTTTGGCCATCTGTTTGGGGATGGTAAGCTGAACTCAATCTAAGCTTAGTGCCTAAAGCCTTATGCAAACTCTCCCAAAATCTAGAGGTGAACCTAGGATCTCTATCAGACACAATACTAGTAGGAACTCCATGCAACCTCACGATCTCACTGATGTACAACTTGGTTAACCTCTCCAAAGAGTACCTAATATTAATGGGAATAAAATGGGCAGACTTAGTCAATCTATCCACAATGACCCATATAGCATCCAAGTTCTTCACAGTCTTAGGTAACCCAACTACAAAATCCATAGAGATGCTATCCCACTTCCACACAGGCACATCTAAAGGTTGCATCAAACCTGAAGGTTTTTGGTGTTCTACCTTAGCTTTCTGACATACTAAGCAAGCATACACAAATTCCTCCACTTCCCTCTTCATCTTAGGCCACCAAAACATCTTCTTAAGGTCTTGGTACATCTTAGTGGCTCCTGGATGGATACTAAGGATACTCTTATGACCTTCTTCCAGGATTGCTCTCTTAAGTTCTGGCACACTAGGAATGCACAACCTATCCTTAAATCTTAAAACTCCATCCACTCCAATTCTAAACTCACTTTTCACACCTTGATTCAACTTCTCTACCCGACTCAATAAGAAAGGATCCATCTTCTGACCTTCTCTAATCTCATCTATCAAGCTATTAGTCACTCTTAAAGCTCCCAACTTAATACTCTTAGAGGTCAACTCACACCCTAAGCTCATATCCCTAAACTCCTCAATCATTTGCATTTCCCTAATCATCAAGGAAGACATTCTCAAAGATTTTCTACTCAAAGCATCAGCTACAACATTAGCCTTGCCAGGGTGATAATTTAATTGAAAGTCATAATCCTTAAGAAACTCTAACCATCTCCTCTGCCTCATATTCAATTCCTTTTGGTCAAACAAGTACTTAAGGCTTTTATGGTCACTAAAAACCTCAAATCTAGACCCAAACAAGTAATGTCTCCACAACTTGAGCACAAAAACTATTGCAGCTAACTCAAGGTCATGGGTAGGATAGTTTTGCTCATGAATTTTAAGTTGTCTTGAAGCATAGGCTACTACCTTACCCTCCTGCATAAGCACTCCTCCTAAACCCAATTTAGAAGCATCACAAAATACCTCAAAAGTCTTACTAGGATCAGGTAATACTAACACAGGAGCACTAGTTAATCTCCTCTTAAGTTCTTGAAAACTTTCCTCACACTTAGAATCCCACACAAAAGGTTGGTCTTTCTTCGTCAGCTTAGTCAAAGGAAGAGCTAGCCTAGAGAAATTCTCTATGAACCTTCTGTAATAACCAGCTAGTCCTAGGAAACTCCTAATCTCAAATACTGATTTAGGTGTTCTCCACTCTAACACAGCTTCTACCTTAGCAGGATCTACAGCTATTCCACCCTTGGATATCACATGTCCTAGAAAGTTCACACTATCCAACCAAAATTCACATTTTGACAATTTAGCATACAACTGTTTCTCCTTAAGGGTTTGAAGAACGATCCTAAGGTGCTCAACATGCTCTTCCCTAGTCTTGGAATACACTAGGATATCATCTATGAAGACCACTACAAATCTATCCAAGTAAGGGTGAAAGATCCTATTCATGTAGTCCATAAAAACACCAGGTGCATTAGTCACACCAAAAGGCATAACTAAATACTCATAGTGCCCATAGCGGGTTCTAAAGGCAGTCTTAGGAACATCCTCAGCTCTCACTCTAATCTGATGGTATCCTGACCTTAAATCTATCTTACTGAACACACAAGCTCCAACTAGTTGATCCATAAGGTCATCTATCCTAGGCAAAGGATACTTATTCTTAATGGTCACTTTATTCAGTTGCCTATAGTCTACGCACAACCTCATGCTCCCATCTTTCTTCTTAACCAACAAAACAGGCGCTCCCCAAGGCGAGACACTAGGCCTAATGAATTGTTTTCCTTGTAATTCCTCTATTTGTTTCTTAAGCTCAACTAACTCTGTAGGGGACATCCTATAGGGTGCTATAGATATAGGTGGGGTACCTGGTACTAAGTCTATGCTAAACTCAATCTCTCTCTCAGGTGGTAAACTAGACACATCCTTAGGAAATACTTCTGGAAATTCTCTCACTAAGGGAATCTCATCTAGCTTACTATCAGTCTCAAGTGTTAAAGAAGCTAAGATCATGTACACTTTTTCATTGTCTTTTAAACAAGTTTTAATGTCAGCAGCACTAAGAAATTCCGTACTCTTACATTCACCAAAGGAAATAGATTTCTCAAAGCAGTTTAAAAGGACATGGTGAGAAGATAACCAATCCATACCAAGAATTACATCTAATTGACTAAGAGGCAAACAAATTAAGTCAACTAGAAACTGCTTATCAGAAACTGTCAAAGGACATTTCAAACACACTAGGGATGTAGTCACAGGACCATTAGTAAGGGTTTCAACAACTAAATCAAAATCCAACAAAGACACAGACAAATTCAATTTTTGGACACAAGAGACAGAAATAAAGGAATGAGTTGCACCAGAATCAAATAGTACAACAAAAGGAGTCTCAGCTATGAAACAAGTACCTTGTATCAAATTTTCCGACCGAGCAGCTTCAGCACCACTAAGAGCAAATACTCTCCCTACGGTCTTTGGACGCTCAATTTGCGAACCTGATCCAATAACACGTGTTCTTCGTGGTTCAGGACATTGGGTGCTGATGTGACCCTTGCCACTGCAATTGAAGTAGGTAATCTCCTTGTCAAGACACTCATACTGATTATGACCAACACGTCCACACTTCCCACATCTTCCTGAAGGAGTGAGATCGAGAAGCCATTTTATATACACAATAGTTTGAGACAACATACATGTATGTCAAACTCCCAAGGCTGCGAAAGCTCAATGGAACAGAACCACTTAAATGATTACCATGGACATTACTGCAAACCAAAACAAATGACTAAACAAAAATTCATAGGATATTGAAAAACAACATGCACATTTTAAACAGTTAAACATAAAAAAGTAATCAGAGGTCTTACAACTGATTTAAGGCAATGCAGGAGCTTAGGTTGTGTGGAATAGATCCATGAAGAAACTAGCAAACTCTCATATGAAATATAGAAATCCAAAAAAAGTAGTCATAATTAGCTTCATATCATGAGCAAACATTAAATTGCAATATTTTTTTGCTTCCTTTTTAGGTGCATACATGTAGAGTCATATCTTGCAAAGGTACTAGTTTGATGTTTGAATAAATATGTCAAAACAGGGGCAACTTTACTAACCAAAAGTACCGAGGGGACAGAAAATTGCGTAGAAAGGTTCAAAAGTGTAAACAAACTTTGCCATTATGGTGAAGAAGCTTGAAATAATGAACATTAGATGTAGGTCAGTTACAAAATCAGATATACAAACACACAAGAATATAATAGAATTACTACGGCGCCTTCAGATTGGTCAGTTACAAAAGAAAATATCAGTGCAAACAAAAATACCGTATGAACTATTGAAGATTTAATAATGATACAGGAGAGGAAGAAAACGAACAAACCTGTTCTTCGCGATGTTAGAAGGAGACAAGCAGATTGGCAGTAAACAGAGAGGAGAAAACAATTATCCAGTGGCAGAAGGAGATGAATGAACCGTGCTAGGGTTCACATGACTACTCTCCCGGCGTTAGGATTTGTAGTTTGTGTGAGCGGCGGCGGTTAGGGTTTCTGAGCGCAAGAAGAGAAGGTTTCGTGAGCAGCGACACTTAGGGTTTAGGTTTCCTCTCTCTCGCAGTGCTAAAAGAATAAATATACACCTTTTAAGTGTTTTGGGTCGGTCGGGTATGGATATCCACGGGTTCAAATTTTTTAATCCGAACCCGACCAACAAAACCCATAACAAACCGACTCTAACAACTCGAAAAATCGCAAAAAACCGGCTCCACAAAGAAACTTACCTGCGGGCACTTCGGATTCGGTCGGGGCCGGAATTTCTGCTCACGCCTATCACTTTGTATGTGTTTATAATATTGACAAAAATTAGTTACTATTTTCGATAGTTACTTATACCGATATCATTATTAAAAAAATATCTAACATATCTCTTACATACATTGTGTTCGATTCCTATGGCTTATGACATAATACCATGATCATGCTTAGTCTTTGACCCTATAAAACTATGAATATAAGTGCAAGACAAAAAAAAAAACATATCTCCAACATTAATTATTTTTTCACAAATTTGCATTTAATTATAATCTTTTCATTTATGATAAGTAAATAGTACGTATCTTGTATTAATATCTTTTTGACTCTTTGAGAGAATTTTTGTTTTTTTTTCACAAATTCTTTAAGAGTTTATTTATTTATTACTTTTTCACTAGTATCTTAAAATTTTGTTTTAGATTAATTTAACTTTGTCAGAAAACAAGTAAACCATAACCAATAATTATTTTTGCTAAAGATCTAACTTGAATATTGCTCAAACAATTCAATTTAAGGCTTAACATCTATATGGATAGAATTTCAAAAATCTTATTTATTTTGCCCTTTACATTAGCATTTAGCGGTAAACAAAGATCTAGATAATAAATATATTAAATGACGAGAGAGATTAAAATAGTTAAATATTTTAAAAAGAATAAAAATATATATCTTTGATGTTAAAAGTAATTTTGAAAATAATATATAAATTTAACGTTATTATGTATTTTTTCACATCATTAAATAAATTAATTAAATGAATCTTATATGAAAGATCACTTAGTAAATATAATTTTTATATATTTATTATATTTTTTGTTATATAAGATAAAAATTTATATATTACATTGCTCAAATTACAATATTAATAATCATACAAAAATCAATTACAAAATCATTTAGCATTAAATTATTCGTTCTTGTTTAGGCCAATTTATTTGCTAGTATTATTAAAAGCGTGGATCAAATTTTAGTTTAACTAATAGTGTCAATTTTGAGTATTAAACATGTAGTCGTATTAATTATTATGAGAAAAAACCTTATAACTATTAATGATCTTACTTGACTCAAAAAACATTATCTTCAACAGAGGATACTTTTGGTCTTAAAAAAAATGAAAGTAATTATAAAAATCAACTTAAATATATAAGTTAAAAATATATATTTGCATAAACACAAGTGAGTAAATATTATTGTTTGACTTTTAAAATAAAAATATAAAATAATAATCTTTGACAGAAATTAGTGATAACTGCAATATTGTTATTGTTTTTGTACATGTACTAATTTGAAAACAATAGCATTTAGAAAATGATGCATCCTCCGAGAGAAGACGCCGAAATTTCTTCCAAATTATTAAAAAATTGATTTAAATAATAAAATATTAAATTAAATAATTATTTTATAATATATTTATTAAAAGATAATAATATTTTACTAATTTAGCCTATGATTCGGAATATTATTCGGCGTGTATAGTAGTGCTCATAGCATTTTCTTTCCGACATACATTTTCATTCAAGAAAAACTCTTAAAATATTGTAGTTGAAAAATAACTTAAAAAGGAAAAATCACAGTGCAACATAGCTATTATAGTTTACATAGAAAAATGATTTTAGGTGCTAATAAATAAATTCTCTATCTTTTATTCATCTTGCCGAAATTTCTTCCGAATTATTAAAAAATTGATTTAAATAATAAAATATTAAATTAAATAATTATTTTATAATATATTTATTAAAAGATAATAATATTTTACTAATTTAGCCTATGATTCGGAATATTATTCGGCGTGTATAGTAGTGCTCATAGCATTTTCTTTCCGACATACATTTTCATTCAAGAAAAACTCTTAAAATATTGTAGTTGAAAAATAACTTAAAAAGGAAAAATCACAGTGCAACATAGCTATTATAGTTTACATAGAAAAATGATTTTAGGTGCTAATAAATAAATTCTCTATCTTTTATTCATCTTATAGAAATAAGAATAAACATTGATGAATACGTTTTTCAAAAACTATTTAACTTTTCACAATGCTGTTTTAAGATTTTTTTTTTCATTAATGATAAAATTTATTGATTTTTTTCAAATTTGTTATTTTTTTTCAATGTATTAGTTTATATTTATTTTTTAAATTATAGATAATTAAAGTAATATATATCATAATATAATTTTTTATTATATACCAAAAAAATAAAAAAAAAATATTTATTACAAATTTAAAGCATAATTTATTTATTTAAAAATATTTATTTATTACGATTCTAATCATAGTGTAGTTTACATAAAAGTAGTTCATTTATTTATCGTAAACTTTAATTATATATAATGAACCGTATGGTTTTGTTATAATTGGAAAGTTACGAGGGTATTTTTTGAATTACATAGATGAATTCATATAATTAAAATTGTAGATACGCAACATTAATGCCGCAAGTAAAAGCATATGTGGGCCCCGCAAAGTGGGTTGTGCTCAGTGGCGGGAAATTATTGTACCCAATAATATCGCGACACCTGTCAAATTTTCATCGTTGAAGCCGCTTTTCGATCTGGACCGTCCACTTGGCAATCATATATGGCATCATTGTTTTTGGGTAGTTATTTAATTGGCAATAAGTAATGTAGGTATTAACTTAATGCGTGGACGTCTTAATTAGATCACCCCAACACCTACATTTCATTTTCATTTCGGATAATCTGTGCATGATGCAATCGTGGCCGTCCATGTCTTCATCTCAGTGAATTTCCCTTTCATTTGAAACTCTTGTGATGTAATTTACATGTGTCAATTTCGGTACACCAATAGTAAACCTACGTCCCAATTTTGGTATAGCTTCTTGACAACTAGCTTGGAATAAAAATTATTAAGAAAGTGGGTTATCCGAATTTTATAATATTAATTTGTAAGATGATAATAATTATTTTTTATTAATATTATATATATTATTATAATTTTATTTTAATTAATATAGAATTTTTAATGTATTTCTTTATTTCGAGGATTAAGCATTTCAAATATAAAATTTTGTTAATATTAAATATCTACGAATAATCCAATAATGATTTAATAGTAATTAGTTTGATAAGTTCAACAATACCACTCAAATACTATCTTAAAAAAGTGAGTTAGAATCTAATTCAATATTATAAAATTGACTTGTTAAATAAAAAATAAATATATTATTATAATTTTATTCCTAATTTATATTAGATTTATGATAAAAAAAATTCTTTAAACCCTACTTATACAATTAAGTAAAAGAAATACAAATTAGGTAGAAGTTCTCACCTCCTATAGGATTGATTTAAGTTAAACCATTAACTTGCTAATTCAGTGTTATTTTTTTTTTTTTTAGTTTTAGTTATCGGTTAGCTCATATTTGGTACATATCCAAAATAAGCTAATAAATACATGTCCTATATTAATACTTCTAATGTTAACTATCAAATCAATAATTTTCAAAACAGAAACTAAATTTGTCTCTCTACATTGACAAAAAGGAATAGAATAAGCGATAATTAAAATAAATTCTCATTGTTTAGATTTTTTTAAGTAAAGTAGAATGTAATGGATCGTGACGAAATTTATTCCATCTCACCCCATTCCATTTGAAACATTTGTTTTTATTTTCATAGTTAGCGAGAGAGAGGGTAAAATCAATTTATTATACGTTAATCTCGTTACCATCTTGTTCAATTCTCAAATAATATTTTTTCTTCTTCTATTTTATCATAAAGGATTTCAATAATTATATAATAGTTTTATTTAATTTCACATAGAACATAAGATTGTACAAAAATTCAAGAAAACAGTGTACTATATATTTTTTAATATATATATATATATATATATATATATATATATTCATTTATAATTTAATTACAGCAATAGTCAATCAGATTTGGATTTAATATGTATATCATTATATAAAAGAAGATATCTTTTCAATGATTATTTTGGTCTCTATTTTATATTAACTATTTTACCGTCTTTTATTTTACTCATAAATCTAAATCACTTTTCTCTTTCAATGTTTTTTCTTTCATTTTTTTTATCCTCTTTAAATAACTGTTCATGTAACTACTCAACACATAATTTATTTATTTTAAAAATAGAGAGGTACAAAGTATTTTTTCTTCTCTGATATATTATAAATAATTTATTTATTGTGATTGATTTTTAATCTTATTCAATAAAAAAATAATGACTACAGAGTACAGAGTATCATGTGTGATTGTCATTAAGTTAAAAGTTTATAGAAGAATTTTTAATGATGTAACTAATGGGTCAATAGATAAAAATTGAACTGAAAAAATTTGTAAAATGATGATCGTCGGCTTCAATCTACTTTTAGCCTTTTAATTTTTATCAATTTATAATTTTAAATCCTTTATTTTAAAATAGAGGTATTTAATTAACTTCTATTTTTTTAAAAGGTTTAAATATATTTTTAGTCTCTATAAAATTGATGATTTTGATTTTGATTCCTCTAAAAATTTTATTTATTTTTTATCCATTTAAAATTTATAAGCATTATTTTTTGTCCTTGTAAAATGATTAAATTTTGATTTGGATCCCTGTAAAATATTTTTCTTTGATTTTCATCCCTCTAAAATCTAAACTAACTATTTTTAGTTCTTAATGATAATTTTAAGGTGGATAAATAACATTTATTTTAAGGACCTACAATTTTTTTAGAGGTATTAAATATCGACATGCTATGAGTAATGATTGTAGATAATACTTAATATGATTACATAACTTTTTAATAAATAAAAAGTAGTTAAAAATGATCACATAAAAATAGGGATTAAAAATAATAGTTTTAATTTTTTAAGGATGAAAAATAAAGAAAAAAATTTACAAGGACTAAAATCAAAACTTTTTAATTTTATAAGGAATAAAAATATATTTAAGTTTTTCTAAAAATATAAAATTTTGTTCTATGATGTAATATTTTGATGTTAATCGATAATTTGTCACTATTTAAGTGATGTGATATTTAATGACATGACATACACGATTCAAAATTAAAAAAATAACATACAAAATATCCT